AACTGATCCCTGAAGGTGATGGGTAGATCGATCTGCCCTGGTGGCATGGCCTGTTTCCTGGGCACAATGCCATGGAAAGGCGCTCAGGTTGGGCGGAGGTTCGTTCGGTCGACGCCCATCTCGTCGAGTGTCTTGGCGTACATGATGTTGAGGCTGCTGCCTCCATCCATCAGTACTTTGGTGAGTCGCTTTGGGCCAACGATCGGGTCGACTATAAGCAGATATCTCCCCGGGTGCAGGATGGTATCTGGATGGTCGGTTTGGTCGAAGGTTATGGCGAACTCCGACCATCGGAGGAAGGGAGGTGTGGCTGGTTGGGCCGTGTAGACTTCGCGGCGTGCAACCTTCTGACGGTGTTTGGAGCCATAGGCTGCCGATCCTCCAAAGATCATAAGGCAGCCATCTGGCATTGGAAAGCCATCGTCCTTCTCCTCGGTGTCGTCCGTAGTGGGGGGAGGGTCCTTCCCCTACCCCCCTTTGTTGGAGCTTTTAGACAAGAACTTCCGCATGAGGCTGCAGTCCTTGAGCAGATGCTTTACGGGGAAGGCGTGGTTCGGGCATGACCCCTCGAGTAATTTTTCAAAGTGGTTCGGAGTGCCCTCTGTGGGCTTCTGACCACCCTTGCAGTCAGCAGCGGCCACGAGCGAGTCCTCGTGTTGTTGCTTCTTGTTTTTCCTTTTGGCAGAACGATTAGAGGTGCCTTCGCCGGCACCCTCGTCCCGCCTTGCCTTGCCATCGAGATGATCGAAGATCGCACCGACCACCTCCACTCCTGAGGTGTGGCTGGTGGCGATGTCCAAGAGTTCCTTGGTGGTTTGTGGGCCCTTACGTCCCAGCTTATGGACCAAGGATTCGTAGGTCGTCTCGGACAGGAAGGCTCCTATCACGTCAACATCGGTGACGTTAGGGAGCTCATTGCACTGTCGGGAGAAGCATCGGATGTACCCACATAGGGTCTCACCGGCCTTCTGACAGCAGTTCTTGAGGTCCCATGGGTTCCTAGGGCGCTTGTATGTGCCCCGGAAGATTCCCACAAAGATCTCCTTCAAATCCACCCAACTCTGGATCGCGTTGGACGACAGGTGCTCCAACCATGCTCGCGCCGAATCGGCCAAGAACAATGAGAGTTTGCGAATAATGAAGTCGTCATTATCCACACCACCGGCTTGACAAGCAAGCCAATAGTCTTCAAGCCAAAGTCTGGGGTTTGTCTCCCTAGAGTACTTAGGGATATTGGTAGGTGGTCGATACCTTGGTAGGAATGCAGCATTGAGGATGTGCCGGCTGAAGGCCTGAGGCCCTAGCAGGCTAGGGCTCGGGCTTCGGTCCACACCGCTGTCGTAGCGTCCGCCGCATCGAGGATGATAGCCACGGCGGGCTCCTTCTCTTTGGTCGCTGTAGGTGCGTCTACGGGCGTCGATGGTGCTGCGTGCGTCGTGGTTATGGCCGAAATGCTGATGTATCAGGGCCGCATCGCGCTGCTTGCCGCCTTGTGGCGCCTGGTGGACTAATGCGTCCCTGGCAGGATGCACCGAGGGCGTGCGCTGGCTGGTGTCGAGCTTGCGTCGTCGGGACAACAAGCTTTTCGCCTGCTGCGCCGCCGCACGCTCGAGCAGCGTGCTTATTTCACGGTGGACCCGACGATCCTCGGGCGTTGCGGCCTCTAGAAGGCCATGGAGCAAGGCCGTTGTGGCGGCGATGTTCTGGCTTGCCCAAACGAAGTGAGGAAGGGTTTCATCATCGACGATGATCCTTCGGTTCATGTCACGGGCCACGGCGCGTGCGCGCCCACCATCTCCGCGGTGTTCAATCTCTTGATCGACTGTCGCGTACTCCCGAACAAGCTATTGTCTGGCCTTGTCTATTTCCTGTTTTCGGGCTCTCAGCTGCTCCACCCCTACGTGAGGTGGGGCCGTTGTCCCCCCTTTGGCTCCACCGCCGAGGTTGCCTGCCGGGGTAGTCTCCTCCGCGGAGACGCTTTCGACGTGTCCCTCGGGGGTTTCCGCCATGAAACATTCCCGGAAGGGGTGATGGCTCCCCCTGCTGAAGTCAGAGCTAGAGTTCGACCCTGGACCTTCCGCTAGGAGGCCATGGAGGGATTCCGTGACATTTTCGATCATCCCCACAAACTCATTGGTTGCGGGGGACGGGATCTTGCGCTGTGCCACAAGGTGGCTAACGGTCCCCGTGGCATTGCGGAGACCGAACGGAAGCACCGTCGGGACGCTCCGTGCGGAGTGTTCCGGAGAGAGGGTGAGGTGGCGTGGGTCCTCCTTGGATGGCTGGGGTCTGAGGGAGACGCCGGGCTGGCGCTCAAGCCTCCCGTAGCTGGAGCCGATGCAGGGGAGAGACTGGATGGCGACATGAGCCAACACCAACTCTCCTCCCACCGTGACGATGAAGTCCAGGTCACCGAAACGCACGTGTGCGCCCGAGACCCACTGATTGCGTGGTTAGCCATCCAAGGCCTGATTTGGAACGCGCAAAGGCCCCTACCTGGCGCGCCAACTATCGGTGTTTCAAACAAACACCGGCTAGTAAATTTATAATTGTTGTGCGTTAGGCTCGGATGGTGTACTAAAGGACACAAGGTTTATACTGGTTCGGGTAGAATGAACCTACGTCCAGTCTACTGCTGCTCGTGTTATTAGTACCGAAAAAGGTTCATAGTAGGGGGTATAAATGGTCGAGAGAAGGACATGTCCCAAGTCTCTGATGGAAGGGTCGAAAGGACGCTAAGAGCTCGGTTGCTTCTTGACTACGTGTTGTGTGTCCAAAACGATCCATCGTCTTCTGTCTAAAATCGATCCGTCATCTTAGTGGGGTGCCCTGCCCTCCTTTTTATAGACCAAGGGGGGAACAGGGGTTATAGACACGAGAAAGAGGAAAAAACCAAAGGTCGAGAAGGTCCTTCGAGGGAACCGGATCTTCCTTTTCCCCTATGCTGCCCTACTAACATGGCAGACCGTGTCAGGAATGGCATGTTCATTGATCCTTATAGGGCCATGCCCTGGCCTCTTGCAGCAAGTGGGTGCATCCCATCCTACACCGGTGGACGGTGCGGCGTGCTAGAGAGCCGAGCCGTGCCCCTTCGGAGAGTAGTCGGGGAAATGACCATACGTCCATCACTATAGATGATGTGAGTTCTATCTTGGATCGTAGTGGTTGTCGTATGCTCGTGTTTGTATCCGCGTCCGAGGGCTGATGGTAGCGCCTACAACACTGTGGGACAAAACTCGGCGCCTACAACACTGTTCGGGCTCTGTAAGGATGGAAAGGGCCTAAAGCGCCCATCCCGTCGCATCCGGATAGTACCTTCCTGCAGGCATGCAGGGTATGGCCCTCGGTACTGCGGTTGACTCGAATGTCTTGTCGTACCCTGTGCTCGTATTTATGAAGGAACAGGGTGTGGTCGTCGGGCGAGGCGGAGCCAGCCCTCGTCCGTCAGGCGAGGCGGAGCCAGCCCTCAGGTGTTAGGCGAGGGGGAGCCTGCCCTCAGCCGTCGAGTGAGGCGGAGCTTAGCCCTCGGGGGTTGGGCGAGGCGGAACCAATCTCTCGTCGTTCGGGCAAGAAGTGTAGTTGCGTTCTTGTCTGACCAGAAGCGTCAACGTTCGATGGTTATTAATTTCACCTCATTGGGTACCCCGGTATTAGGTCCCCGACAACAGCTTTGAGATCGGGCGAGACGGAGCCCGCGGCCTCGAGGTCGGGGTCGGGTGAGACGAAGCCCACACCCAAGGGGTCGGGCGAGATGGAGCCCGCGGCCTTAGGGTCGGGCGAGACATTTTAATACATCTTGAGCCATCCGGGAAAGTCAGCGTGGGCGCTAACTTTCTTGCTTTGGGTATCCCTAATATCGATACCCGACAACCAGTGATGGCGGCTGCCTCGCCGTCCTCACGCCCAAAAAAACAGCAGGGTAAGGATGGTAGCGGGGCGGGTCTGTACTCAAAACCAGCGGGTTTCAGACCCGTCGGGGGAGCGGGCGGGTCCAGTTTTGGCCCCGCGGGTTTGTGGGTTCGGGGACCCAAAACGGGGCGAGGCGGGTACGGGCTTTAAATCCCCCCCCGCAGGTGTCTGTCGGCGACCCGAAATTAAGCAATCAAGTAAAAAAGCCCACCATACCTGGCCCATGTAACCTGTAACCCTAGGTATATAAGTAGCCATCCCACTCCCACCATTCCCGTTCACACCAGCCTCGACCCCATCCCAGCCGCCAGCACGGCAGCACCAGGAACTGAGGAACTAGAGCCTAGCCCCGTGACCCCATCCCAGCCGTTGTGCTCCCTTCCCCGCCTCTGGCATCCAGCCACCGCGCACGCGGCACCGTAGCAGGACACAGGCGGCCAGGGTACTCGCGCGTGGTGCAGTAGGCGGCCAGGCCTGTGCGTCGTAGGTGGCGGTGGTGGCAGCCAGGCACACAGCTATGCGGCGCTGCCGTCGTAGGCGGGCGGGTGGTGGCCAAGCACGCGGCACGGCTCGTGGCATACGACCAGGCGCGCAGCATGGGCACACGACCCTCCGCTACGGAGTTGGAGAGAGCAGTTGCAGGTCGAAGCTCGATCCCGTCCCGGGTTTCAGGAACCCGTGGTGTTTCGGGGACCCAAAGGGTTCAGGGGCGGGGGCAGATCTTCCCCCAAAACCAGGTTCGGGGCTGGTTTGGGTTTCGTTGTCGGGTTTTGGGTGTGGGTCCATGAACGCTTCGTCCATCCCGAACCCGCCCCATTGCCATCTTTACGGCAGGGGCGCAACAGAAAAAAGCAAGCGCCAGCATGGAGGGTTGGGGGGCATGGAACAATGTTGGAAACTGCCAGGTAACGTGCGGACGTAGGATCCGTAGCGGATGGCGATCTGTCTTCGACTGCTCTCTGCCATCGCTGAGGTGAAGTTAGAGGATCTCGTTCTGCTAGACCCGACGGTTCCTAGCGACGGCGGCGACCTCGAGCTGAGGGCAGCGAGAAGGCGGGGACAACTCGATCTCCCTTCGCTGGCTAGACCCGATGGAGCCGACGGTTCCTTGCGGCGACGGAGGCCCCGAGCTGAGGGCCGCGAGAAGGCATCGACAGGAGGGCGAGCGAATCCACGTCCTCGATCCGCGAATCCTAGAGCCTCAGCTACAGAGGTCGAATCCATTCAGGTATCCTCCACTCACCTTCTTCTATCTCTATGTCCTTGAATTTTGTTCTTTATTTTTTCTGCAGTTGTTCTTCTAGCGCATCGATAGATCTAGTATGTCCATGTCGATGTTCTGCTAGTCCATTCAGATCCCGTCGGAGGCACCAACCTCCTCGAATTGTCCTTGGGATAGAGAGGATTTCTTTGCTTCTTGCGTCCTGTACCTAGATTTGTGATATCTTTCAGGTTTGAATGCGAGCCTCCATTTCATAGGTGCTTTCATCATTTTACTAGCTTTCTGCACATTTCAATTACTCGCTCAAAGAAATCTCGGTAACTGAACATCTGAAAGGAAGTCTTGAATGGCTGCTGATGAGTGTTCATAGGTTAATTTGCTTCTACAGATTGGGATATCCAGGGTTAATTACTCCTATCAACATATATACATGCATGTGATGCCATCGTCATCCTCTTTAATTACCCAAACTGAATCCATTGGCTCAGGACATGGAGTCGTGGCTGCATTCTTTGATTCCTAGCTAGCCATCAGATTTTTTTTTTTTTTTTTTTAAAAGGCCGACCTAGCTCAGCTAATTTCTCTGTTTTGGTTTGATGACTATTCTGTGCTTTGGGGCCGTTCGCTGGTCTGGAAAGACCAGCCAGCCGGCTGCTCCCCCTCACAATTTACTGTTCATCAAACCAGCCAAACAGTGTTTCTCTCTCCCAACAAACCAGCCGGAACAGTGTTTTTCAGCCAAGTTTCAGACCAGCGTTGTCAAGTAGCCGACAAACCATTTCTATAACCCTAGCTAGCTAGAGTGAGACTGCTTATATATATAACTTGCTATCATTAGCCACATATATATCTTCCCTTTTTTTAAAACAGTTGACCAAATGGTGATATATGTCAGAAATATAATGTTTTGACAATCTAGTATGTCTCTAAAAACTCCATTCGTTCCTCTCCGTCTGTAGCCTTAAGCCCTTAAGCATGAAATTTAAAGATCAACTCAACATCCTCTTTAGATAAGACATGTCATGCTTCTCAATCGTCTCTCTCTGTAGCTTGGCACAAGCAAAGCATAGAACACCCTGCAATGCCTTGGTTCATTAATACTGTTGGCTGATATCCTTTTTTCCAAAAACTTCTCCCACATACCAGAAACTAAACATATGTTGTTCAGCAAGTGCCTGCCATTAATGAGCTCCTGAATAATACATGTTTTTAGCACAAGCATCGTTTTTGGTATCAGGATAATATATATGTGCTTTCTTCCATTTATATACTTCACTTATACTGGATCTGTCCAAATTCAAATATATGAAAATGATGATACTACTGTGTATTGCGTCTCAACTATATATGTTAACCATCTCCATATCCTATAACTGTAACCCGTGCATAAATGCTTTGAGAAGAAGAATGAACATGCATAAATCAATTTCAGAGCTCAGCTTTTATGTCCAACACTTACCAGTTAAATTAGTCCATCCAGTCACAAGGAGGAGTAATGGACATAGACATTGAGCTGTGCAGTTTCAGAGAGCTTTTATGTGTATATAAGGTTTAGTCAGAACAGAGAGACCTTATGTAAAGATCCTTGCCTCTAGTTTTTTTTTCTTCTAGGCTATGAAACAATACTTCGTGCTTTATGACTGATTAAAGAAGTGAATAAGCTTGGAACACAATCAAACACAAGTAAGTCGGTTGAAAAACTTAAGCCAAAGCGGCCCAAGCTATTCGAGATACAACCCATGTCTTAGCTGCCCAGTAATTCAATTCAGTTTCTGGTCGTCCAGCACCTAGTCGTCTGACTAATTGTGATTAGTCAACGACTAATCGGGCAACCAGAAAACTAGTCGCCTAAGTCGTACCCCCTAGTTGAGTTCGGGCTACCGATTAGGACGACTAGTCGCGATTAATTGCGAGTAGTCAGATGAATTGATAACACTGTTCCTCTTAATGAAATGATGCACAATTCTCTTGTGCGTAGAGAAAAAAAAAACAGTTAATTAATATTGATAGCTGTATTGTTTCAAATATGTTCATTTGTTAAAATTAACTTCTGTCTTTTTTTTGGCTTGATCAGGAACATCTTTCATCTATTAACTCAACGAGAGGTCTCACCTCGAACGAAACACCACGCCAAAAGAATATGGAATAAGTCTCCAAAATATGATCCTGATTTAATTGAGTTAAGGTTTGCCGATGCAGATGCTAAACTTGATATTTTTTCTTGGTAAGGAAAGTTTGTTTATTGATGTTTAAGAACAAGTCCATAATATATCAACTACTGAGTCACATGTGAGTCTGTTCACATCTGTTTTTTTATTGGCTGATTCGTTTAAACCTTGCTGTGTACAGGGCAGAATCAAAGTCCCTGCATCGCTGGACTGCCAAGTATTGCCCTCTTTTGCCACCTCCTAGGTCAACTATTGCAGCTGCTTTCAGTCCAGATGGAAAAACACTTGCGTCCACACAGTAAGTTTATTGACTCACTGTATAACAAACTGAACTGAAAGACATGCCAACTAACTAAATCTGTTTTCTCAGTGGTGACCATACTGTGAAAATAATTGACTGCCATACAGGGAAATGTTTGAAGGTTTTGAGTGGACATCGACGCACTCCTTGGGTGGTATGTCTATCATACCGGCATATATTTTTTCTAGTGTATTTAGATTAGCACCATGTGCTTCAAGCTCTTGCAAAGAAAGGAATCTAGTTATAGTGTGTTTTTTGATTTTTCAATAATGGTCTGTCTAGAACATTAATTTTATAATTTCTCTTTCCATATTATATTTGTTACTTGGTGACAATCTTGCTAGCTGACAGCTTTTTTTTTATTTCAAGAAATCAAGAATAGACGAAATGATCTTTTTGAACTTTCTTTGCATCCCAATATTACATCAGAAATTTAAGCTGCTAACTTATTTCAGGTCAGGTACCATCCATTACATTCTGACATCCTGGCTAGCGGAAGTTTGGATCATGAAGTTCGTCTATGGGATGCTAATACATCAGATTGTATTGGATCACAAGACTTCCGTAATTTCTCTCAGAAGACTCCTTGCATTCTATTCATAACCAATTTGGAGAACAACATAACTTATATTTGATGTTCCTCTGGCAGATCGGCCAATTGCGTCCATTGCATTTCATGGAAGAGGGGAGATTCTGGCAGTTGCATCAGGTCACAAAGTGAGACTTGCTGTGTTGACCTTGAAAAACAAGAAGAAAAACAAAGTTTTTCTGTACTGTTTAATAGAGTCAGTTAACATACCATACACTAATGCCCAAATCAATTTATATGTTTCTGTGTCAGTTGTACATATGGAACTACAATAAGAGAGATGACGCTTCTTTCCCTGCCATCATACTAAAAACTCGCCGTTCGTTGAGAGCTGTGCATTTTCACCCACATGGGGCTCCATATCTTCTGACAGCAGAGGTAGAAATATAGAATACCCTGAGGTCTGCACTTATGCTTTTCCTTCAATTTTTCATGTTTGCTGTATGAACTTACGCATAACTTCAATTTCAGGTTAATAATATAGAGTCTGCAGACTCACCCCTGACTCTGGCAAGATCCTCTGGATATTCAAATTACCCTTCAGCCCTGCTGGTGACAAACACTAATTCTAGGTTCTGTCCACTTCCTGAGTCCAATGTGATGTCACCTTGCTTACTGTGGCCTGCGTACCTCAGAGATGATGGAATTTTGCATGTGCTTGGCAATGACAGTAGTTCAACCATTGTGCAGCAGAGATCATCATTAGTTCAACCTTCCATATCAGATACTGCAAATGTACAGCTTGAACAGTTTGCTACCCCTATGGATGTATGTCCTGGAGAGCCAACTTCATCTAATGACATATTAGATGCAGTCACTGTGCCTACTTCCAATGGAATTGAAATGCATGGTGCTGGCAGCCAGTCTAACTCAAGACTGCAGGGCGGCAGCTCTATTAGTAATCTTGAGAGGTTCAGTGCTAGAGATGATTTGCAAATGTCTTCCCTGAGCAGCACTGAGCCAATCCCATCAACAGCTGGGCCTTCAGGATCTGTTTTACGCCGTGCTTTGCCACTGAATATGCTCCTCACTGGTGGATTAGATGTTCAAATGTTCCTAAGAAATATAGGAAGTGGACAACAGGATCATTCTCTCTTCGGCGACTCACATAACTGGGAGGTGCCATTTGTGCAGGGTTTTTTGATGGCCCAAAACCATACAGGTTTGCACCCTGCACTTGTGAACAATAATGTCCTTGTAGACCTATCTATTGCTGGTACTGCAGGGACTACTTGACTAGGGAATCACCACACATGCATTACTTTGGATGTCCAGGTGCTTCATCATCGATTCCCCTTACTGCTGGCAGTTCTAGGGGACCAAATCGACGCTATGCCTCACGCTCTGTACCTGGGGTTGGGAGTTTGCTCCTAGGTCCTCAAATTGACGAAGCTGAAGCTCATGCTGCTTCACTAGGTGCTGGTTCAGAAATCACTGCGTCAATGCTTGCTCCTGGTACTGAATTGCCTTGTACAGTGAAGCTCAGAATATGGCGGCATGATATCAAGGAACCATGTGTTCCTTTAGAACCTGAGGCATGCCGTCTGACGATTTCTCATGCCGTTCTTTGCAGGTGCTTCACTGTTATATCATTTCTTCTTAATTCCATTTTGGTAATATCAAAACTGTTATTTCTATTAGTAATATTAGTTTACTGTTTTGCTAATATTGCAATGTAACCAATCGTAATAAGTACAAGCTCCAGGCCTGTTTACACTGTAAAACAATTGTGAATAAATTGCTCTGTTGCGTTTGCGTATATGTTTTGTCATATGTGAATTGTACCTGTACATTTGTTGCATCTTGAGCTTCAGCAGGGAATTGTGACTTCATTACTTACTCTGAACTTACCAATTTTACAGTGAAATGGGTGCCCATTTTTCCCCATGTGGACGATTTCTGGTAGCCTGCGTTGCATGTTTGTTGCCTCAAACAGAAGGCGACCATGGTAGCCAATTGCCTGTGCCTTATGAAGGAGCTGGATCATCACCAACTCGTCACCCGCTTCCCTCTCACCGAGTTATTTATGAGCTTCGGGTTTATTCGCTTGAGGAGGAGACGTACTTTTTCTCTTGATTGTCTTTTTACTATTTTTTATATACTAGGTTACTGTTTGTGAATGGCCCACATATCTCAAAACTGGTTATACCTTTGCAGATATGGGGATATTCTTGCTTCCAGAGCAATAAGGGCAGCACATTGCTTAACTTCCATTCAGGTTTTCTTCAGTTATTTGTGTTTCTTTGCATTTTTATATGTCGATAGCAACCTTTTATCATGTTTTATAACCTGTCACTTGTTTGGGACTCACTCTGTAACAGTTTGTTTTTGTTGCAAAAAGCATTTTGGACCTGAGTCTGATGAAAGATGGATCTTACATTTCTGCAGTTCTCATCGTTGAATTGGATCCTGTTTCTCTCTTTTGATGCAGTTCTCACCTACATCCGAACACATACTTTTGGCATATGGTCGTCGTCATAGCTCGCTCCTTAGGAGCATAGTCATGGAAGGAGAAAATGGGATTCCTGTATATACTATTTTGGAGGTAGATATGACAATCATATTCCAATTTCCAAATCATAGTTTGATTGGTAACTGATATCATATTAATTATTGTATGGGGGATGGTGACAGTGCTGGTTCTGCAGTTGCATGATACTTACTCTCTGATACTTGGGATTCAAAATGACTTGCTTATTATCCTCCACAACTACTAATATTGCTCATACTTTGTGTACAATGTAAGCCAAATTATCAATCTTTTTTTTCATTTATTACTTTAGGTATATAGAGTTTCAGATATGGAGCTTGTGAGAGTGCTTCCTAGCGCTGAAGATGAAGTCAATGTTGCATGCTTTCATCCTTCACCAGGAGGTGGCCTTGTTTATGGGACTAAGGTGGGTAGAAAATTATTCAATAAACAAAAAAGGTATGGCAGATTGCTAATGCTTTCATTGTGGTGAACTATATAGGAAGGGAAGCTCAGGATCCTTCAGCACAATGGCGCAGACATGACAAACATGGGAATGGGTTGCTTCATTGAGGAAAATATGGTTGAGGTAGCGAGTTTTTTCCTTGTTTATTCATTGCCATTTATTATTCAACCTGCTTTCTTTGTTACGTCAAGACATTTCCATGTTTATTAAGCCGATTTTTGAGACACTTCAGTTGAGTGGGGCCTCAAGCGTATCTTCCGTCTACAAACTCTGCAGGCCTGCACCCTCGCCCCCTTTACCTTCGCAGTCCTACCCCCATGCAGTGTTATCAGGTCGTCTGAATCGCAATTAATCGTCCTGATCGGTACCCAGCACTCGATTAGGCACTCCGACTTGTGTCATGCATAGCTCCCAGATGGCCTGTTGACATATATGTGAACCGCATGTCGAAATCACAAACTGCTAAAACATTTTGGGTGGCTATTTCCGTCTTCCCAATATACCTCACTTGCTCGCCCGGTGGAAGGAAAACACGAATATGAGTGCCATCAAGTGCTCCAATGCAATCTTTGAATTGTGGATATGCTCGCTTATCATCCCTTATTCTCCTATGAACAGTATGAAAATTGGGATCTTTTGGCCTAATGAAATCCTTTGCCATGGCCATCAAACAGTTCAGAACATCCTCGAATTTCTGACTAATAGTTTCACCAGAGTGCTTGAATCGATTTTGACCTTTTCTATTAGACTCATTTCCCGCACAGATAAATAAGAAAATTCCTAGGCTCTCTTCGGTTGACATGTGCAAGGATGGTTCTAGCCCATACTTTCTGTACCAATAAACCATGAAGGTCAAAGAAGATTTCTGTGCTCATACGCAGCTGGCTATGGCATTCGCCTGGAGTGCGCAAAGTCTCCAACATAAAACCCATTCCACTGGTGGTAGACGTCCTTGTAGGGTTTTTAGTAAGGAACATATCAACATATATTTGAGCAAGCATAGCACCTCCTAAGATAGTTTTGAAAAATTCCTCATTCTCGTCACTAGAATCATCACTAGACAGCTGCAAGATTAAATATGACATGTCGAAATGAGACGAAAAAATGACAACATAAAAATGATAACAAATTGACCACCACAAATTGTCCGCACGACATTAACATGAATAAAAAATGACATGTCCAAATACAAAAGTTGACCATGACATATGTCCACATGACATTAAGACAAATAAAAATGATATGTCTAAATAAAAAAGATGACAAATATAACTTGTCCACATGACATAAGATTACTTGGCCATCACTTTCCAAACATCACATCCTACTTCCTCTTAAGCCAACTCAACCTAGCCTCATTGTTGGACATAGTCATGAACATTTCCCTATGCTCTTTCTTGACAAAAAGCTCAGTTGCCACAAAATGCTCATCACTGCCATATGCAGCCCCATATGCGACAACATGGCCCATTACTTGATCAATAGTGATCCCAGCTTGCTTACTTGCCACAAAAGAGGAAGCATTCTCTGATATCTTGGAGATGTGTTCTTGTATAACTAATGCTGTGCTTGCCTTAGGTTTCTTGTTAGGTTTTTCAAGGATCACATGGGCTTTTTTCTTAGCATGGGCAACGGCAGGAGAAACCTCCTGCACCTCATCACCATTGTCTAAGTCATTGTTACCACCCGTCTCATTCTCATCCTCAGCATCAATGAAGTTGGAACTCATAGGATTGGGTGCTTCTTGGCTGGGGGTATTATGGGGTTGGAACTCATAGGATTCCAATGATCTTGCTCTTCATTAATGATGTTCCCAAACATCGCCTTCAAGTCATCTTCATTTTGGAGAGGCCTATTCTTAAATTTCCCCACGCTAGGAATTTCCTAAAATGTTTTGACAAAGGTAAGAAATTGAAAGTATACAAGACTAATAAAATCTACAAATGAACAAAATACCATGACAGAAGTGCTCACTTGTTTGGTTTTTTTTCCACCACTCGGGGTCCATGTTGATAGTTCCCTTGTCCCAGTTCCAACTAGTACTAGTTTGCTTTCTCATTAATTTTTTCCATGCACTCAAATCAGCCCTCAACTTATCCCACTTGTTCTTAAGTTGAGCTTTTTTCAACATGATACCGGTGCTCTGAAAAAACCTTTCTTTCACCTCGGTATATCCCACATTGTTCAAATGAGTGTTTGGTCGATTTCCTTTTCTAACTTGTTCAGCGAACAACTTGCAAACAATGGCGGTATAGCCATTATTCCATGATTGGATAAGTCTCTGTCAGCTGGTCTTTGTGTAAATTGGCTGCAGCAGCATCTTAGCTAGTACAGCATCTTAGGACAGCATCTTAGAGGACAGCATATTAGGATAGCATATTAGCATCTTAGACTAGCATCTTGGCATATGCTTGGCTGGCTAGCAGCCTATAAATATGGATCTCCAACCCCTTAGGTTGGCATGGCATTGAGAAATAAACCAGAAAATTGTCCTAACTCCTAGTGTCATCCTCTCTCGATGAGAGTAAGAATTCTGCTACTACCAAGAGTGAGAATTCAGCGACTAACAAGCTATTATCGAGCAGTATTATCTCAGCTTTGAGCATCTCCTCGCTCATCTTCTTTCTGACCGCAATGCTTTGAGCTAGGAGCAAAGAGCAGCCCGGCCGCTCGCTCGCTCCTCCTCTCCCTCCCGCGTAGCTCGTTCTGGCAGCCCTCTCCCCACGCAGTTATCCCGGTAGAGCGTCATGTCCGCAGGCGATCTCGGCCTTCGTCGCCTCGAGCACTCGGCGTCGTGAGGAGCGAACTTGCCATGCGTGAGAGAAGCGCATGAAGGCAAAAAAGACCAGCTGGCATGGGCGGCAAAAGCGTCGAGGTGGCGGTACGTAATGATGGCGGCAGGCAGAAGCAGGAAGGCAGCAGCGGCGGCGGATGCGGCAGCGTCGCGTGATAGCGGAGGTCGAGGCTCTGGCGGCAACATCGGCGGCTCCATTTCGGCGGCGACACCGTCGACGCGGACCTCGAGCTGCTAGAGAGGGAGGCCTTGGCGAAAGCGGCGCGATGGGCAGCCGCGACGCCACGCAGCGTGGCGGCAGCGAGACAGTCGTGACGCGGCTTGGCGGCGTTCTGGAGGAGGCGCGCGCACGGCGGTGGCGCTCAGGGCAACAAGACGCCCACGAAGCGTGGCGGAGCCTAGACAAAGCGACACGCCTGGCGGCGCTCTTGAGGCGCGCATGGCGGTGGCGCTCTCGAGGAGGCGCGCGACGCCCACGAGCAGCGGCGCGGCGCCGGCGGCAGCGGCGCGGCGCGGTGGCGCCGCGAGGAGGCGCGCGGCGGTGGCGCTCTGGAGGAGGCGCTCACAACAGTGGTGGCGGGCGGGTCGATGGAGAGCGCGACCTTCACAGCGGCGTGGCTCTTCTCCTCGGATCGGTACCATGGTTACCACGGTTTCGTGTCGTTATGCGGTACGTCGCCCCCGGCGGTGGGTGGCCTACCCTCACCAAGACCAACTTACGAGTGAGCGGGTGCGGTGATGAGGTAAAGCTCAGTGCGGCACATGTGGGAGAGCGATCCGGTACGGCGACGTCGACTATGACCGGGATCGACGGTATTTGGATGCCCTCATCGCTGCTGATCCCGTCCGAGATGCGATTCTCGCTTACCAACAATCGGATCGCCAAGGAGGCTTGGGGCGCCATCATTGCGGCAGACGATCGCGGCGACCGCACCTTGCAAGTCCACACTGCAGCACGCCGCAAGGAGTGGGAGAACACGGCCTTCAAGCCGGTGAAGGCGTTGATGACTTTGCTCTCCGTCTCAACACTGTTGCAGAAGATGGTGTAGTTCGGCGATGACACCTACAGCGAGGAGAGAGCTGTCGAAAAGCTCTTCCGCTGTGTCCTCGAGAAGTACAAGCAGATGGCTCGCTCGATCGAGTCTCTGCTGGATCTCTCCACGATGTCGATCGAGGAGGCGATAGGTCGCCTCAAGGTCGTCGACAGCGATGAGCCATAGCCTCTCTCGGGGCCCATCACCACTGGCGGGAAGGTTCTCACTCGGGAGCAGTGGCTTGCCAGCCAAGGTGATCGGAAGAAGGGGGAGCCTTCATCCGCGACTTGGCCGAGGACGTGCCGAGGGTGATGCCCGCGGAGGCGACGGCGGCGCCACGGCGGCAGCTACAAAGCCGGCACGAGGCGACACTGCCGCAGAAGCTGCGGCTAAGCTTGGCCATTGGGTCAGGGGATCGATCCGACACCACGGCGTGGCGAGCCCACGTCGCGCGACAAAGTGAGGAGCCGGCTCTGTTCATGGCACATGCAAGCATCGAGCTACCTCGGCCGCAAGACCGCCGCAGCTGCTCTCCTCCACCTTGACGAGCCAAAAGCACACGCCCTCTCGGCGACAGCTCCAGCAACGACAAGACTGACGGGTGGTGCCTCGACACCGGCGCCACCCATCACATGACCGGTCGACGGGAGTTCTTCACCGAGCTTGACTCTAGCGTCCGAGCTCCGTCAAGTTTGGGGATGCCTCCGGCGTGGAGATCATGGGCGTCGGCTCCGTCATCTTCACCGCCGTGTCACGGTGAGCAGTCAGCCGCTCACCGGAGTCTACTACATCATCACGCGTTGAGGAACTCTATCATCGACTTGGGACATTTGGATGAAAACGATTCAGCAGCGTGGTGGTTGAGGATGGAGTCATGAGGATTTGGGATCGCCGGCGTCGCCTTCTTGCCAAGGTAAACGAGCGCCAAATCGACTCGTCCTCCTCAACGTGCGGTGCACAACTCCTCTGTCTCATTGCTCGTCGGGACGAGGCGTGGCTATAACACGGCGTTTGAGCACCTTCACTTCGAGGCCACAGGCGGCTCGGTTGCCCACGGAGATGGTGCGAGGCCCTGCCGTGCCTCGACCATGTGGAAGCGACTTCTGCGATGTCTGCGTGTTGGCGAAGTAGAGGCGACTCCCTTTTCCCAATGGGCAAGCTTTCGAGCCAAGGAGAGGCTCGAGATTGTGCACGAGGACTTGTGTGGCCATGACACCGGCCACACCGGGGAGGACGACGCTACTTCTTCTTTGCTCGTTGGCGACCTCTCCCGCTACATGTGGGTGATGGTCCTCGGCGACAAGGAGAGAGGCTGCGGGCGCCATCGGTAGCGCAAGCAGCTGCGGAGGCGAGTCGCGCGGTCAAGCTGCAGCGTCTTTGCG